ACCAAGCAGTTTTGATTACTATGGCTTTGTAGTAGAGTTTGAAATTTGGTATTGATATTCCTCCAGCACTGTTCTTTCTGTTAAGGATTGTTTTTACTATTTGGGTTTTTTATTGGTCCATATGAATTTCTGGATTGCTTCTTCTATTTCATTGAAGAATGAGGTTGGAATATTGATAAGTATCACAATGAATTTGTAGATAGCCTTGGGAAGTATTGCCATTTTCACAATGTTGATCCTTCCAATCCAGAAGCATGGGAGGTTTTTCCATTTTCTAAGTTCTGCTTTGATTTACTTTTTCAGGTTTTTTAAAGTTCTCATCATAGAGGTCCTTCACTTCTTATTTTTTGTGGAGCTATTACAAAAGGAGTTGCTTTCCTGATGAGAAATCATATTCTTTGTTTTTGTTTGTTTGTTTGTTTTTTGGTCCGGTTGGGCCTGAACTCTGGGCTTGGGCGCCATCCCTCAGCTCTTCAGCTCAAGGCTAGCGCTCTACCACTTGAGCCACAGCGCCACTTCTGGCTTTTTTCTTTTTGCTTATGTGGTGCTGAGGAATCGAACCCAGGGCCTCTTGCATGCAAGGCAAGCGCTCTACCACTGAGCCACCTTCCCAGCCCCAGAGAAATCATATTCTTAAGAGAAATACCTTTGTACTTTACACTTAAGGGAAAAATGTACTTGCTTCCAAAATTATGAACCGTAACATACCTACTGGAATGTACACTCTCACAGGTGTTTTACAGTTTCTGCTACAAGTGTCTCCTATCTTTTAAAGTTTTGATATACCTGAATAAAGCTCAGAAGATGCATGAAATAATAGTCTTAAGGAACAAAAGCACTGATTTCAATCATTTCAAATATTTTTATGGAATTATGATGGTTTATTAGATGATAGAAAAAGGAAGTAAACAAGTACAAAATCAAGTGAAAACAGCCCAATGATGAGAAAAACCACATGACAAAAACCCACTTAGAATGTCCCTAAATGCTTATTCAATAAATATTTTTAAAAAATAAGCTGGGTGGTGGTGGTTCATTTTTGTAATCATAGCTATTCAAGAAACTGAGATATAGAGGATCAGTGATGTGTCTTCAGAAATCGGCCCCTTGCATTACAGATTGCTGCTAGAGCAGCAAAGTCCTCAAAAATCCATTTCCAAGTGACCAACAAAAGCACTGAGCTGAGGATGTGGCTCTAGAACATCAGCCTTGGACAAATAAGCCTGGTGAGTCCAAGGCCCAGAGTTCAAGCCTACGAACCAGCAAGGAAAGGAAAGAGGGAGGAAGGGAAGAAGGAAGGAAGGGAAGGAGTGAGTGAGTAGAGGAGGGAGAGAAGGGAGAAAGGAAAAGAATAGAAAAGCTAACAAAAGAATTAATTCAGAAAAAGAAGTCATACTGTGCATAATGGTGCATTCCTGTAATGCCAGAAGGCAGAGATAAGAGAGACAGGAATCTGAGGACAGTCTGGGTTTTCCAATTTTCCAGCTAGCCTAGGCTGGTAGCAGAACTGTCTCAAAAAAATAAATAAATAAAATAAAAAAGTCAAGAGTAAAAAAGCACTAGAGGCTTTCAGAAAATTTAAGTGGGTGGGACTGTGAGACTGACATTGAGAAGAAGCATTGTCCAGTAAAATTCCAATATCAGAGATACTATTCTGTGATACTAAGGGATCCAATTGAAAAACTTTTGCTTTGAGCTTTGGTGACCATAAAGTCAAGTATCTTGAGCTATAAATCCTGACAGTCAATCTGATTTCTATTTTGTTGGTACCTTCCTAAGGAAATTCTAACACTTCAACTACTCTTGCTGTTTCACTTCACAAACAACTTTTGTTTCTGCCAATTTAAATTTATGTTAGAAGTTATTGCTAATTCAACTACTAGTATGTTGGGTAACTTTAATTCTAGGTTAAGGCTGATTCTATGCTTCTAAAGTACAACTCAATTTCTGTTTTCAGAACTGCTTTAAAAAGCTTTTAAAGCACCTGAAAAACACAGAGTTTAGTTCCAATTTATCTCTTATTCTTTCAAAGCCAGAGAAATTCTGTATCACTTAGAGTAAATAGGTAGCTTAACTGAACCTAAACTATTTTCCAAAAGTCATGAGAAATAACATAGGAGAGTTAGTTTCCTAAAAACAGAGAATCTATTCGACTCCAGCTTTAAACCATAAGTAAACCCAACTTTGGCTGTCATGGTATAATATATTCACCAATCACAGAAATATACCTAACCCCGAAAACAGGTTTACATGTTTGTCTTTTGTGTTTTTAAAAGTCTGTCTTTCATTCTTCTTTAGTTTGTAAATTTTGTAAACATAAGAACTGAATCAATTCCTTTAACTCTTCCTTATGAAAGGTAGAAAATGTAATATACACATGTATAACTGTTGATTTTGTATATGTGTGTGTATGCACACGTGTGTTATGCAGACATACACACACACTGTTACTAAGGCTTGAATTCTGGGCCTGGGTGCTATCCCTTCACTTTGTAACTCAAGGCTTCCATTCTACTACTTGAGCTACAGATCCACTTTTAGCTTTTGGTGGTTAACTGGAGATTAAGAGTCTCACAGACTTTCTTGGGCTGGCTTTGAGCTGTGATCTTCCAATCTCAGCTTCCTGAATAACTAGGATAACAGGTGTGAGCCACTGGCACCTAGCAACATTATTAACTCTTAGGAGTGGCTTAAAAATAGCAACCAAACAAATGTCTTAGGTAATTAAAGTATAGTACTCAACAGTTATCATGTTAAACCATTTACAAACATTCAATCCAATTCCAAATTACCACCTGTGACATTATAATATATATAATTAAATGAATTTTGTAAGGCAGTCAATTTTGTCTCTGTCAAGCTGGAAGACATTCAGCAAAAGTCTCAAAGTTTGGCATGCATCAGAACCATCTGGAGAGCTTGCTGAAACAGACTGTGGGACTCTTGAGTTTCCAATTCTAAAAATCTGGGGCAAAACCTGAGAGTTTGCATTTCTAAAAAGTTCCTGTGAGATGGCGCTGCTGCTGGCTTGCTGACTACACACTGAGAAAGAATCTTTAATCACTGCTTTTTAACCATGACT